GGGTACCAGACAGATACGGAAGGTACACGCATGCTGAAACTGGCAGGACGCAGCATTCACGGAGAAGAAAGACTGAAATGACGAACTAATGTTTAGGGACAAAGAAGAAACTAAATCTGTAAGGGGGCTTATGGGGACTTCAAGATAGGTGAAAAAGGAATCACAGAGTTGTGGAAGAGGACAGAGAACAAGTAAAAGATGAGGAAGACTTTCTCCCTCATTCTAGACATTTTAAGCCTGTCTTTTACTTTAACAATTTTTACTGGAATAATTCACTGGGAAACTACTCAAAAACTAACGATATCTTTCTAATCTTTTCCTGAAGTAAGTTTTCATAGTATGTAGTGTGTATATACAGATTATTATGTAGACATAATATGGATGAACCTTGAGGACATTATTCTAAGTGAAAAAAAGCCAGCCACCAAAAGACAGATCTTGTACAATGACATGAGACCCTTAGAGTAGTCAAATCCCCAGAGACAGAAAACAGAATGGTGGCTCCCAGGGGCTGGGAAGGGGAAGAAGGAGAAGGTAGTATTTAATGGGCATGGAGTTTCAGCTTTACAAGATAAGAAGAGTTGTAGAGGGGCCAGGGATTTAGCTCAGTGGTTCCGCTGCTTGCCTTGCAAGCACAAGGACAAGAGTTCGATCCCCAGTACCAAAAAAAAAGTTGTAGAGATGGATTGTGGTAACGGGTCCACAACACTGCAAATATACTTAATACTGATGAACTGTATACTTAAAAAATGTTATGGTTGTAAATTTTTAAAGTATATTTTACCACAATAAACAATGAGAAAAAAAATCTATCATATGTTAAGACATTAGATTTAGTACTGTACATTGAGGGGTCAGGTGCTAAAATATCCCCTTCAATATTTGAGACAAAATGAGTTAGTTTTTTTTTTTTTTGAGACAGGGTCTCATTATGTAGTTGGCCTGGCCTTGAATTTGCAGCAATCCAATCCTCCTGCCTCAGCCTCCCAAGTGCTGGGATTACAGATATGTGTCACCATGCCCAAAATGAATTAGTTTAAACAAAGAAATAGCAAACAGCTTTGGGGATGCCAATGTACTCAGTGGGGTGGGGAGGAGAGGCAACTAGATTGAGAACCTAAAATAAATTAAATCAGATCAGGTCCTCCCTTTCTGTCTGTGTATAGGCACCCCCATTATGCCTTCTCTCCAGAATAAAACCATGTCCACATGCAACTTCTGGGGGCTGAATGCTTATGCATACATTTACTGACTATTGACAATAGTGTTGAAAATACTTTTGGGTCAACAGTAGAGACAGAATGAAATTAGGATGTCCTTTAATATAGTAAAAAGGGTGGATAAAAATCTTCCATAAGTACAGACAAAAGAAAACAGAACAAACAGAAAAACTAAAATGTTGACTAGTGGAAATGAAGGCCAAGGCCTATAGCCTTTGTGAGCTAACTTACTGTCTCTGGAAAGGAAAATAATGGCACTATCTTACAATATAACAGGATAAGTGACCAGGCTATTGTTTTAACTCACTCTTCTAAAAGTATCTTGTTTATTTATTTATTTTTTAGAATTCACATATCATAGAATATAAACAACTTCAGAAACAACTCAGGGTAACAGACAATGGAGTTGTTTACATATCACAAGATAAATAGATATAAGTTCCTAAACAAAAATATCAAAACAAGAAAATGACCTCAAAGCAGACTTAGACCGAATTATTAGGTCTAAAAGCTAATATGATTGCAGTAACAGAAGTAACATGGCAGCAACAGCAGCACTCCTGTCCAGTAAGAGTGTACTCAGTGCCAGGGACAGGTGCTTTATGGACTTCGTTAATTTAACTTCTCACAGCCTTCTGGGGTGGATAATGCACACTCATACTATGTTCTACCTAGTATTGTCTGTGTCACTACAGATTTCCTTAAAACAAATCAGTATAAAAAGGAAACTTAGAAAATAACTTCAAAGGGCCGGGGATTTAGCTCAGTGGTTTCGCCGCCTGCTGCACAAGCGCAAGGACTTGAGTTCGATCCCCAGTACCAGAAAAAAAGAAAAGAACTTCAAAAAAATAGAAAAACACACTTGACTTTAAAATATCCTTTTAAAAAATGATGTCTAGTTTCTTATTCTTTATGGCTGAGTAGTACTCCATTTTATTAAAAAAAACCCCACATCTTCTTTATCCAGAGACATCTATAGCTAAAAGGATGCATGTTGAGGCCATACTCTTAAGTGAAATAAATAGGACACACGTGTGTAAATACCGAATAGTTTCTCTACTGTGAGAAACTGCAAGTGTAAATAAGGATGAAAATGATTAAAACGAATAATTGATAATTTGAAACAGGAAGAAAAGGTCCAAAGGGTTAGGGGAAGTGAGAGGGGAAGGGGAACGGAAAAACTATGAGAAAAGGAAAAATGGAAACAAAGTCTTTGTAAACAGGGGTGGAGGGGGTGAAGGGAGGACAGGGAATGGGGAAAAAATAAGAACCAAGACACATCATGTACAGGTACAAGCACCCAATGATGAATGTAAACGTACTGTATACCTAAAATGCACCAATAAAAGAATACAAGGAAAAAAATAAATGATGCCTGACCCCACCCACCCACCCACACGCACGCACATGTGCACACAAACACAGGAATGGCTCCAGGGTCATTGCAGAGGAGCAGATTTCGGCAGACATGACCGTTCTAGTAAGTTCCTAAAATAGCCCTGAGATTGGAGTCTTCTCTATTTAAATGGATTAACTCAGAGTCATTACAGGTCACAATGATACTGATCACTCTAATTCTGATTACGGGCCATCCAAGGCCATTCCAGACAAACTGTTCAGTCAGCTGCAACCTCTATCTCCCAAAGCCTCTGCTCCAGGCTCCAGGGACCCAGTTTCCTTCTTACAGCGAAGCTGACAGATTTTTATCAAAGCAACTTCTAAGGTAAATTAAAAAGGAAATATCACAAAGAGAAATACACTTGATTACTTTTTTTAAAAAATGGATTTTAAATTTTCTCTGTAATTTTTTCCCTTTTGACAAATACTTGGTGCTGCTAAGATATTACATTCATTCTTCAGAGAAATCCCTGGCAGTACATTTGTGACTGACATAAAAATTCCTGTCAAAATGCTTCCTTAACATTCTCGTATGACTACCTGTGATATCTGATTTCAGATAAAAATCAATTTACTCCTGGGCTTATAAACCAGTTTTCTTTCATTTTTAGTGTCTAGATTTCTAGTGTCTCTTGATTATGAAAAAAATTACAGTGGGTGAAAATGCTTAATAAAATATTTTTTAGGATATGATTTACTGCAGTTACTCGTTTTTCATTTTAAAGGGCATGGTCTTAAGAAAATTAAAGGAATGCTTGATCTGTTGCTACAGAAAATAATTATAAAGAAAATGATCTTCTGAAGGCTTACATGGCAGACAGTACATAAAAATAACCTATCTAATAAATTCAGTGTAATGTCAAATAATAAACTGCTAAACACAAATAATATGGATTTGATTGGAAAATAGTAATTAAGGATATGTTTCATTTATACTTTGGTTGTGTTCTATGCAGTTTTTATGTAGGCCACATTTTGGAAAACGGAATATTGTGAAGCTCATTTTACTGTTAAGAAGAACCTCATGTTAATTTCCTCATAAAGCAGAATTAACACTGAAGTTACATCTTTCTAGATCTGAACGTATTTGAATTGTTTTAAACACCTTTCTCCTTTCCTGGTACTGGAATGAGGTATTCCAAGGCCTTGGGACTGAGCTATAACCCCAGGCCCTTTTTTAAAATTTTACAAGTAATTTTACAAAAAAGCCAGAAGTTTTCTTTCAGTACTAGGAATTGGACCCAGGGCTTCTGCACTGAGCCACCTCCCAGCCCTCCTAATTTATTCTGAGACAGAATCTCACAAGTTGCTACGTTGTGGAGCTTAGCCTCGGCCTTGCAACCCTCCTGCCTCAGCCCCCTGAGTGCTGGGATTACAGGTGTGAGACGCCACAATCAGCCCAGAAGTCTTGGTACTATAACTCTGATCTAGGAAAAAAACCAAAAAAACAAAAAAGAGGACTACAAAACATATTACTTCTCATTCAGTTGTTCTCAGACAAAAACTTTTTTAAAAAATGCAGTGTTAAGGACTGAACCAGGGCCTTGGTACATGGTGGGTAAGTGCTCTCCTGAAAGGCTATTCCCCAGGCTCCTGAGAATAAACAGTAATCCATTAACTGGTCTAATAGACAAGTCACAGAATTTTATCAACTTTTAACATATTTTGTATTTTTAAATACATTTTAATACCTGACACCATGACTGTACTGTTAGGATTTTTAAAAAATCATCATTGCTTAAGGTATACTTTTTAGTAAATACTCCTAAAATAGAGTTGATGGGAATGTTAATTAAGCTTAGCAATTAAAAGCAGGCCTCAAACCCTCGTTCCTCCACTTCCTGGGATTTTCATCTCAGAGAAATTGACTGATCTTCCTACACCTAAGTGTCCTTGTCTACAGAAAGTGAAAGCGGTAGCACTTACCCCATAAGGTTGGTGTGATGATTAAAAGGAGGTTAATCTTTTTTTCAATTAAGCCAGTGTTGCGACTGATTAAACCCAAGGCCTTGTGGATGCTAGGCAAACACTCTACTACTGAGCTACATCCCCAGTCCAGCAGTTAATCTTTATAAAAAATGTAGCACAATGCTATACACAGGAAGTGTTTAATAATGGTGCGCCATTATTATTGTTCTGGGTTTTATTATTGAATACAACAATTGCCAAATTTTCTTCTCTTGGTGGGGCACAGTACAACAAAGTCAAAGAGAGCAGAATAAACATTTTTCATTAGGCACTATAATGATTTCTGACCTACCAGTTACCTGACTTACCATAGTAGTTTCACTTCCTGTACTTATAATAAACAATTAAAATTAAATACATAAAAACAAGACCTACTGCTGTCTTTACTGCGATATCAATACAGAGGCTACCTACCTGTGCAGCTCTTCCGTTTTGTCTTCAGTTGGACCTACGATTAGTAAACAGTGGCGAAGGACAGCTGCCATGACACGGAACTGGTGAGAATCACTCTATGTGAATAAAAAAGGAGAGGGAAAAATTGGGGGCTGAATGTCTTTACACGGAGTCTGGTACATTACTACCTATCATCGGCCCTCAAACACTCTTCTACCACGGGAGGAGACAGCGGGATGTTCTAGGAAGAATTCCTAGGGCGATGCTCAGTACCATCACTCTTGCATGTGGACAGACACAGCCCAGACACAGCCCCTCCAGAAATGGCTGCACCAGTGGCTGAGGATCCAGCCACTCCACTTTACCTTTGCTGAAGATCTGATTCCACTGGGATTTTTTCATTTCCAGAAATCTGGATTCTTTTATCCTTGTAGTATATATACTGCTAGTTTACTAGTCATTCTAAAAGTTCCAACAAATGCAATGCTATCTTACACCAGCACAGTTATTTTTGGAGCTAGTTGTGCATCCTTTAAAAAATGTCTCAGCTCTTAACTCTCAAAAGCAGTGAGTTCATCGGCTTCACTTGATCAATCTTCTCAATCTCCCAGGTCCTGTAGAACAGCCAGCAAATGACACACAAGTGGCCTGACCTTACCTCCTGCTTTTCCAACCTTCACTCACGGGCAGCCGTTTTAAAGTCAGTCAGAGAGAAGGCGGCTGACAATAGGAAAGGAACTAAACTCTGAATAACCTTTGGGTTTACCACTTCATTTACAGTGAGATCTTGGGCCATTAAATTAACTGAATCACTTATATCAAGGTCTTATCTCTCTTCATCCAAATTATGAGTAATTAAGATAACACACAAAATTAGAGATAATTACGACAGTGATCCCAGGCCATATTTTAAGAAGAATGAAATTACTTCAAAAGCTACTAAAAATTTTTAAAACTTCACAGTATATAATTGATGTTAAATCCAAGTAAAGTAAAATTATTTACAAATATATAAAAACTCACACCGTCCCTCTAAGAAGATGTCTCTCTCAGGCCAGGGATTTAGCTCAGTGGTTTCTCCGCCTGTCCTACAGGCGCAAGGACCCGAGTTTGATCCCCGGTACCAAAAAAAAAAAGATGTCTCTCCTGAAATCGAGCAAATAGGGACACTTTCATTACTCATAATGTAGATGGTAATATTTTAAACACATCACCATCATATGCAGATTTGGAAGAGATAAAGGCCTCAGGGGCATAATGGAAAAAGCAGGCACTTGGAGACAGGCATCTAGGTTATGACCTTAGACAAGTTACATGGCTTCCCTCGGCCTTGGTTTCCCTGTGCACTGCTCCACAAATATGAGGTTCTGTTAGGATTAACGAAAAGGCTATGCATAAAGTGCTTTAAAACTTTCCATAAAACATCAAGTTGACATGGAAGGGGTGTTGAGGAGGAACAGAAGGTGAGAGGGACAGAGGTGAAACAGGTAATAAACACTGTGGGGTGTGGCGAGAGGGAAAGGAGAAAGGACCAGCAGAATGTGGCAGAGTTAAAAGGAATGTGGTCTCCTCGCCACCCAGCCCCAAGTGCTCAAATGAAAATATGCTTTCACTGGCACCCAAATTACACGGAGCACACTGAGACTGGTGACAAACTCAACCGTTATGTAACTCTTGGTATCTTCCTTGCTTTTGGAAATTAGCAGGGAAGGGTACTGCCTTGTAAGCTAGACTCTCCTTTATTCTAGATGTAACAATCTTTCTCTTCTCACACCTATGGAGACAACCCTCCAGCAAAACTCACTACTTTGGTCTTTTTTGTTATCTGCAACTGCAAGCCAAAATCCTACCCATTTCCTTCCCATTTCCTCCTTTTCCAGTTTTCGTAACATCTATTCCCAAGTCTGTCTACAATGTGCCCTTTTATCCTAAATTACCAAAATCTATTTTTCTACTCAAATCAACTTCTGAAATCACCTCTGGTCTTTACACTGCCGAGTCCTTTTCATCCCCCAAGTCTCAGCTAAAAGATCTTAGAGAAGCCTCTTCTTTGGCTACCAGATCTCAGTAGACTCCTTCTTTCATCATTCTCTATCACTGAATCTTTTTAAGTTCTTTCATGAAATCATAATTTGTAATTTCACAAGTTAATTTTCTTGTATATATTTTGTTGTCCACTAACCTATACCATCATAAAGATAGAATGTGTATCACAGATGCTCAATAATTTCAATGCAAATGTTAAGTATAATATATAAACAGAAAAGGACCAAATGTATAAGCATACTGATAACATCACCAAATGAATGTACCTATATAATCAGTATGAAAAATCATGCACTGCCTGGACTAAGAACCCCAGAATTCTCATGCCCTCTTGCACTGACAATCTTCTGCTCCTCAAAGGTACTCTTTCATGTCACAGGTCAGTGATCTGTCGTTACCACACTTTATATTTAGACCCTCTTGTGTCTGGCTGTGAGATTCGTCCACACTGATGTGTGCAGGTGCAGATGGGTCTTTTTCGTTGCTTGAGCGAAGGGCGGCTCCAAGTGTGGTGCTGGTCCTGGCACTGATATGCAACACCGCGTGAACAGAATGTGGAACATTAGAAACATTTTGAGCAGGAGGACACTGTGTAATACTGTACTATACACGACTTACATTCTGATGGTTAGGAGACAAGACCTGTTCCTTCATTCACCACAGACAGGTTACGAAAACAGTGCTATACAGTATTCCAGTGTAATGAATCCACCACCACTTACTATCCATCCTGCTCTGAAGGGACACGTGGACTGTTAACTGTATGAACATACTTTTTACATGTCATGTGGAATCCACTGGGTATACACCCAGGAGAGGGGATGGAGAGCCACAGGGAATACCTAAATGTCAAGTCTGGAAGATACTGCCAGTGTTTCTAAGTATTTATGTCACTTTATACTCATGGCAGTCTCTCTACAGCTGCACTGATGCTTGATATTATCAGCCTTTTAAATTTTAGTCCTTTTCATGCATGGGTAATGGTTTCTTAGTTTTAGTTTGCATTTTCCTGATGAACAATAAAGTTGAACACTTTTTCATATGTTTATTGGTCATCTGGACAGCTCTTCTACAAAGTTTTTTTTATCGAATTGATTTTATTTTTATGACTCTGCAGAACTTAATTGCATTTTGAACAGAGCCCTTTATTGCATATATATGTGGCAGTATCTTTTCCCACTTAATGGCCTGCCTTTTTAACTTTTTCTTGACAAACTCACTTTAATAAAGATCAATTTGTCAGTTTTTAATTTTAGTTTGATCTTTATTTTGTCCTGTTTTCTTTAGAAATCTTTGCTTAAGAAATGTTTAACTTTGAAATAAAGTCATAAAGATAATCTCCTATAAACTTTATTATTTCATCTCTTATATTTAGGTCTCTCAACCAACTCAGATTAATTTTTCTGTGTTTACGGCATAAGGCAGGGATTCAAATTCATTTTTCCCATACAAATGATCTAGGGCCATTTATTAAAAAGCTCATCCTTTCAGTGCTGTACTTCCATGTTACCTGTATCATGCACCAGCTGACTGTCCGGTATAGGTTTATTTCTAGACTCTTATTCTGTCCCACTACACTGTTTCAAAGAATGCCTGTCAAAGGCATGCTATTTCGGAAGCAGTTCTACTTAACAAAGGTGGGAGTGGACACTTCCTCAGGCGGGTCACTGTGCTGTGCGCCTTTCTGTGAGGAATTTTAACACACTCATCATCAGTGTCTTCAGCTGTCCAATGGGGTTAATATTCCTGTCTCACAAGAATGCCAGAAAGGATTAAAAGTAGTTACTGTTCACAAAACATTATACAAACACAGCCTATATGACTGTCATTCGGTTGCCTCATAATTTAGTTTTAGTATCTTTAAGTCATCAATATTCTCTCCTCTAACTGAAATCACCTTCAAAAGCCTGAGAAAGAAAAAAGTCCCTAGGATCAGAAGGTAAAGGAAAAGGAAGTGAGCAAGTGGATTTGGTTGTGATAGCGGAAATCAAAACGAAATAGGAGATAAAAACTGACGAAATTCTTTGGGATCTTTTTATACGTATAATCTTCACTTTCTAATTACCTTTTACTACTATACTACTGCTTTTTCTCCCCTTCTACGGAAAATATAAAAGATTTAACTTTATTTGGCAAAAAGTATTGATTTTTCTCATATCCTTTCATTCAAAACTTTGACCTATCTAACCAATGCCCCAAAGCCCAAAGAGATATCTAGAGTATACGGCATTTGAAGCTGCTATGCGTTGCTGATGTGACTGACTTTGAAATATACAGAAAATACAGATAAGAATAGTGGAGTGTAACAAACGCCTCGCTGTAGTTTGCTCCTGCTGAAAGGCACAGTGAAATCTAATTCCCACTGTATTGGTACTGGGTGGTGGTGGGAGTTTTTAGAACTGCTAGGTCACAAGGGCTCTGCCCCCATGCGTGGATCAATACTGTCCAGGTGGGACTGGGTTAGGGTTCAGCCTCCTCTGTACGCACACGCTCTCTCCCTCTCTCAAACACACATGTGCATGCTTTTTCTCCACGGGAACCTTCCACCATGAGATGCTGCAGCAAGCAGGCCCCGGCAGACACAGCCTCACAAACCTCTCAATGATAAATTATCAGCTTGGGCAAGGCATTCTGTTATAGCAGCTGAACACGGACATAGATACAGGTGTACAGCACCTGTGTCTATATATCTGGTTTCCCTGTTAGACCATTAATACTCTGAGGGTGGTGATGTTTTACCTTGCATTTCACCTGCCTACCAGAGCTTGGCACAAAATGGATGCTCAGTAACTGTTGGAAAAATGATTCTGCAAAAACATATAGCACAGCCTGGAGCTTTATTGTTAAGTAATATCTTTTATTTTTCCACATTATTCACAGAACCCCTTCTGTTACAAGGTGGTTTTCTCAATCGATTTCTGAGGGCACTCACTGTTACCTCATTTCACTACTCAAATTCTTGTGCTTCTCCACTCGGACTCGGCTGTCTGGCTCTAACGTGTCTGCTGGTGCCTGGATGCGCTCAGTACACCACACTGATACTCTGGACACACTGGAGAAGGGAGCATGTGCTAAGTAAAGGATCCCTAGAACATGCTCCCCTCCACTGACAGGTTTAGGAAAATACTAAAGCAAGAAGAGTACAAAACCATTTCAATTAATTGTCCTAGAACTAACTTTAATTCCTGCTAAATGAATCACTTGACCTTTACAAATATACTACCTTCAGGAAAGGAGGGGGGGGGGGATGAAACCCACACGAGGAAACAAGACCAGCCAGTTTACTCACTGAAAGGAAAGGAATCTCCAAATTAATCTGCTGATGGCATCAGCAGTCAGGCAGGAATTTAACACTCAGGCATGAATCTAAAATGAACAAATGGTACTAATCTGTTAAACCTCAAGAGAAACCTAGTCCATTCTTTTCTGGTTTTGGTGAATTGTAAATGAAACCCATCATAAAAATATCTGCTAGAACAGTTAAAACCAAAACCAAATATCTCTATGTTCTGTAACTGTGAAGCTGTGAAATAGGCAAAAAATTTTGAAAGTGAAGTGCCTGAGGCTTGAAAAGGTACAGCCAGCACTAGCATTCTGAAGGCAGTTTGGCAACATATATAGAAAAGGCTTACACATAGGGAGGGGAAGGGACTTGGGGGGGGAAATGGAATAAAATAATATAAAATTTAATTTAAAAAAATTTAAAACCATACAATTTTGAAACCCTTTCGTCTATCAATTTTAGGGATGCATCTACAAAGGTTTTACAACAAGAAAAGTCACTGTATTAGTATTTATTTATTTATTTTTATTTATTTATTTTTTTGGTACCGGAGATCGAACTCGGGACTTTGAGCTTGCAAGGCAGGCGGCGGAACCACTGAGCTAAATCCTGGCCCTACCGTGTTAGTATTTAAAACGACACTCAATTGGAAACAATTTAAGTGCCTTCAAATGAGGGCTTTGTTGAAGGTTGAAATCTTACACAGAAATACTCATAAATATTCTATATTGATAATTTATTCAGACAATTATTTTTGTACCTATTAGTGTTCTTTCATAAGGTTTTATCATCTTTAACAAAAGTTAAGAGTGTTGTTATTTGCTGTTTGTTGTTTGTGAACACTTTTTTTATCCTCCAAATGAAATCTCAGTTACAACTTAAATTTACACAGAAACAAGAGTAAGCAACAACAATCAAAGGAACTGTTTTTAAAGAAAAGATGGAGAACTGGATACACTGTCCATCCACCCAAAGAGGCCACTCCTAGGCAACTTTCATCTTCAAGGAACACATTTTGAAAACTACTACTTTTCCTTCTGGGCAGTGTCGGAGACCAAGACCGGGCCCTCACGCTCACCCGACTGACACCCCACCACGGAGCTACACTGTACCTGGCCTTGAAAACCACTACTCTGCAAGAACGGCTTCTGTAAAGTTGTGAAAAACATTATAAAACGATTGTGTGATGATTTTAAAAGATGTGTGTATATACTATTTATCACACAATGAAGAATGATTAGAAGAATATTTCTACAGTAGCTTGTATTTATTGCTTGTAAGCCTGTTCCCTAGATCTTCCACAATGAGCATATAGAGGGAAAATAACATTAACTATTTTTAAAGCTGGATTTTTCTGTTAAGTAAGTTTCCATATCCCTTTAACTCAGTTGGAATTTGGAGCAGTAACAATTCTTTGGGTGCTTGCTCAGTTGAAGTAAGATGTCTTGCATCTGACAAATGAAGGAAGCACTGAAATCCAGTAAAATGGACTCTTAGTAGCAAGTCCCTTGGAGCCCTTAGAGATTTCTTTATGCTAAGTTGCAAAGGCCTCACTGAAAACTACTCCATGCTTTGGTTTCTGTATCTTTTCATCTGCTGCTCAATTTCAGGGAAATTCTCCAGTCTTCAAATGGCTGAATTACTCTTAATCTTCAGATCTCAGATCTTCAGAAGTCTCTGACTATACTACCTACTTCCAATCACTGCATTGTTTCCCAGCACTTAACCCAATTATGTACTCGTTTACTGATTTATTATGTATTTTACCTACAAAACTGAAGTTGCATGAAAGCAACGACAATGCCTATTATTTGCCAATACATTACACAATGCCCCACATAATATCTAGCAATTGTCCATAAATGTTTGTTGAGTGATTGAATGAATAAATGTTTCCTAAAAAATTAATCTGAAGACTCATGAAGATACTCCTTTCTAAATGGGCTGGCAAGGATCCTATTTCCCATAATGTTTGTATTTCTGAAAACCACATTAAGTAAGCAGGTTTCATAATGGCTGTGCCAACTGAGCCACAATTCACCAAAGGCACTCACTACTAGTCTAGGACTCCCACTCTGGGACTACTGGCCCTTTACAGCAGACACTGCATTCTTTCAGCACCACTATTCCTTACAACTGAAGCACACCGACGAGGGTTCATCTCAGTTTAGTGACTTTAGTACATGTCATCCCACACATACACTGATGTGAAACCACTGGATTATAAACTGTTTCTGTCAGGCCTCTCAACAGTATGGGATACATTTTGGTGCATAACTTAAATAACATGGGCTCAACAATGGCAAACCAACAGTTTCAGAGGAGCTCTTGCAACTAAAGGGATAACTTAAAAACATCAAAACAAACAGTGTAAGAAAAATAACCATAGAAGGTACCAAATAAGCACAGAGACATAACATTTTAAAAACTTACAAATATTTGGTTTCAAAGCATAAATGGAGCATGTGGGCTTTCCACATCTTTTCTTGCCAAGTCTCAGGAAAAACTGACCATACTACAGTCATCTAAAACAGCTGTTAGGACTGATCTTCAAATATTTGGTTTCAAAATACAGACCTATTTGCACTCTAAAACTCTGATGCTGGAATACTCTCACTACAGAGCTGCACTAAGATAATCCTTCTAAAGTAGGCTGCTGGCAAAAACAGAACTTTATTCATGGGAGAGAACTATTTCACATGGACCCAGCAAATTGTAAACCCAAATTAGTATTAGGTGGGGACTGACTTTCACTACCTAAGAGAGAGAAAGAAAAAGGGGAATGCAGGAATGTAAAAGAAAGGAAAAGTGTTTATGTCCAATTCACTTACAATTACTGACTTCCTTAACCTAAGTGCTGAGCACACTGCTACTGTGGGCTCTCAAACGTAAACTACCAAGCTCGCCTCGTTGCTGGAAGGCAGAGCCACTGAAGAGGGTCTCTGTCTAGAAATAAGCCAAGCGGTTTAAAATACCCTTCCCACGCTCTGATGCAATCATGCTTATGTTCTGGGACTGTGTACAAGGGTGGCTGTCCAGCTGGCAGTCCTTCACTTCCGACAGTTAACTAACACTCTACAGCAACACTCGAGGAGCCTGGGTGACAGGTGTGCACACAGCATGTTTTACTCTTCTGAGCAGACAACTGACTGTCACTTTCAAATGACTGGATTTATCTTAACTTTTAAAAGGGTAGCCACTAAAAATACCTTTACTTTTATCAAAAACATTGTCTTATTTCCTCAAATCTTAAAATTTAAACTTTGTTTCTGAGAAATGCATTATTAAAAAAAGAGAAGTTATAGTACAACTCAGAAAACTAACTATATTTGACATTTTACAAAATAGTAATCCATCTTCACCCTATTATTCTGATGGGTGTTACACAAATGGAAAGAATAAAACAAGTTAAGAAGTGTATCAACGAGGTATGGTGGCCCACGCCTGTAATCCTAGCATTAGGGAGGCTGAGGCAGAAGGACTGCAAGTTCAAGCCCTGCCTGACCAACTCAGTAACTTAGTAAGGCCCTGCCTCAAAATTAGAAAAAAAAAAAAAAAGGAATGGGGAATATAGCTCAGTGCCAAGGCCCTGAGTTCAATCTCTAGTACTGAAACAAAAAACCTACAACAAAACAAAAAAAAGAAACATATCATAGTTCACACAACTGATTAATGGGGGAATTGAGAACTTGTCCCACTTTCCAATTTAGCATTCTTCCCTTGCAGGCAGCTACTAGAACACCCAGATGGATGAAATTCCAGGTAGGCAAGATTAGCTCTTCCAACTTCCCAACCTTACCTCTTTGTGCACCTTCCAACTGTCTACTGTCACATTGAAGAGAGCTTTGAGCGCCTCAATGGCACAGTCTGTCTCCTGAGGTGAGAGAGGAGGTCCATTACGGTCTATGGCCGATTCATACTCATCGGTCCACTTGATGCTAAAGGCACTTTCCAAGATCTGGGTTAGCAGCGGTAGTCCCTGGAGCTCATAGCGCAATTGTGACCTGATGTCAGTGTGCAAAAGTGACAGGAGGAAGAGCAAGCGCAAGTCAAAGCACTTAATGTCACTGATACATTTTCGGTCTTTGCACTTTTTCAGGAGGTTACAGAGCTTTGCAGCAAGATTAAGTTCCAGGCTGAGCTGCTGTGCCATCTGACTGTTGAACACTATGTTACATAGACATTTTAACGATTCCACAATAACGGGGAACTCGGACACCTTCTCCAAAGAATCATCTGACTCATTTAGCTTGGCCAGTCTCAGCAGTATCTGCATATTTTCCTTAGTTGTTACAGGAACTAAAATCTTTTTGTCTCTGGAGAGAATACGGAGTACTTCCAAGCAGGACACTTGACACGTTGTTGGGACATCCTTTACAAGGACTTTAAATATGCCTTCACAGAGTTTCTGAAAAACAAGAGCAAGTATGCAAAAGTCATTTTTTGGGTTCAAATAATTTAAAACATAGTGCTTCTCTACTCATATATTTAATAGCAACTAAGGATGTGGCTAGAAAAACATTTTATTTTTTATAGATCATCAGATGTTGGAAATGAAAGCTTTTATTTGGTACACAAGTCTTTCACGTTACAGATACAGAAACTGAGGGCCAGAGAGGGAAGTGACTCACACTGTGGCAGAGGGAATCAGTGCCATAGCGAGAGTTAGAGCATGCCTACCTTCGAAGCCCATTATTTTTCCTATAAAATCATTTACTTTATTTTAAACTGGTTAGTTTCAAATGCCTTATGTAGACTTATCCTTAGCGAATTTTTAACTTTAGACTAAATGCGTACTGGGGTAGAAGGCAGTGTGTGATCATAGCTGTCCCCCCGGAAACAAAGGTCATGCTCGAGAACCGGCTGACAACTGCCCACCACCTACTCTTGTAAAACAGCTTAAGGGAGCATCATTTCTGCTGGGTCTTAGTTGTGCTATTTCTTCTGAATTTACGGTTCTACGGCAGTAGTTCAATTAAGATCTAATAGTACTTAATGATCAAATGCCTCCAGAAAAGAACTTTTGCTGGCAAACCGATCAAAATTATTTTGAGTGTTTCGTTCTAAAGAGTTTAGCTAGCACATATTGTGCCTTGGACCAACTGCAAAAAGCTGATCCTTCTGGCAAAGTTGATCCCCCTGGATGGGCAAATCACACAGAGAGCCCCTCTTCCTCTGAGCAGCCTGATTCCAGGACACAGAGCTTGGGGAGCTCGGAAAGGACAAAGCCTTGGGCTCCCCTCTGTTCTCTTGGGTTAGGGCGCACAGTGTAGTAATAAATGTAGCAGTCCTGGGCCGAAATCTTGCTACCACTATCCTAGTAACAGTTCTTTTAGATTGGACCCAAAGTGTACTCTATTTTGTATTTTTTGAAAAAGTAATTATTCATATCATTGCCAAATTTAATAATCACTGATCATTCCCTCAAAATTCAATGCCAGCTTTCTTCTCTACAAACTGTAGGTCTGGGTCTCTCAAGCTGATGCTTAAAGGTAGAGCAAGTGAGTATAATCATTGCATTGCTACACGTCTCTGTACTCCGTTACATCTTACACAAAGTTAACAAGGTTTCTGTTAAACTATCACCAGACTTTCATTTTTTAAAAAGAAGCTACTTAGGGTCAAACATGATCTAGGCAAGAATCCCAGGCTATGCACAACTTTTCAGTACATCGCATCAGACAGCTATGGAATACCAATTTTAATGTAAATATGTTCTCTAAATGGAGATGGGAAGGATCTGTACCTGACAAGCTAAAAAAATTCAAAACAATGTCAACTGTGTCTCTGCCTTACTTGGTAACTACAGGAACTTTCTTCTGACGCTTTAATATCATTGTCAAAGCAGCTTTTAAGTGATTCTAGTTTTTGGTTTTTGTACCACCTTCTCACTGCTGTCTTCTGTCACACACACCCTTCCCCGTTCTCCAGGCATTCTGAATGGGCCATCTGCCTTGAGACACGGTATATTAGCTTTCCTCTGCTGTCCTTTGGCCTGGTGTGCCCTGCCACCACGTTTTTCTATCAGGACCCTATTCTTTTTCTCAGGCTTGCTTTGGGAGCTGAGAAGTCTATAAGCTTCCAAGTCATTCCTTCTTTGCGCCTCCCATAAGCACTTGTTGGTGTAAGCTGGTGGGGTATCTTGCTCCTCCAGGATCCTTGAGACTAAGGCCAAGTTTCACCTGCGTCCCAGCGGCTGGCCTACGTGTGCCGCGTTAAGTGCAAGAGAACGTAAATTCCCACAGATGACCCGAGTTGAAGTCTTACCACCTGACACTCTAGCAGCACCTTCCAAAGAAGGACCCTTCTTCCTCTCTATCAGCCACAGTTCACTACTAAGCCTCTTCTTCCTCTCTTTCCAAGTACAATGAATCATCATTACATTATGTTTTAGGAAGAAACTTTTTATTTACCTCCAGGTACAGTGACACATTAGTTTTCAAGTGGCTCCAAGCTTGAACTTTCCACTACTTGAACAACAAAGTTTGAAAAAAGTCTGCCCAGTGTTCATCACTTTGCTCCATAGTCAAAGTGAAAATCTTCCTTGAAAAAACCTGTATGGGCCGAGAGTGAGTCACAGGTAGCGTCTCGCCATGGACACAAAGCCGAGATGCCTTAGTGCGAGCGCTACTGACTTGTCAGCCCTGATAGCACAGTGCTTGTGTTAGTGCGGAAAATATTCGTCACTGGGCTTTGGTTTTTGCACTTTATTTGTATAAAATATCGTTAACCCTGGCTCCAAAGAAAGTTAGTAATACCAACAGTAAAGCTAAGAAAAAAATCTGTGAGAATCATGATAGAATTAAAGAAAGAAATCATTGCAGAATTTGTTAAAGCAGGGCCGGGGATTTAGCTCAATGGTTCCACCGCCTGCCTCGAAAGTGCAAGGACCTGAGTTCGATCCCCAGTACCAAAAAAAAAAGAATTTGTTGAAGACCTGGAAAAATGAATTTATAAGTGTAAGTTTTGGGCCTCACAACCAATTATTTGGTTTTCCATTATTTCTTATGGGAAAAATATGTTCTGTTCTCCAACTTGTTGGTGTTTGAACACGAATTTGGAAGGAACTGAGTTCGCAACCAAGGCATCACTGTATTTGTTGTCTATACAAATTTGTACCCATTGTTCAATTTATTTTTGTAAATGTGAGAATCATTCAGGTATCTTAGATGACAATGAAACACAATTTTTCCAATTAAAAATCAATGAATGAAAATTCTTTTCCAATTTGTCACTTTAAGAGTTCAGGTTTTCAGGAATGAACTGAAGTTATAAAGCAGGGTTAAGTGTGCTTGTAAAATGCAATTATGAGTCTTAGAAAAGCCCTTCTAAAATTCCATTAGTTTAGGAGGCCATGGCTATTTCTACAGTCAGACTATGAGACAGCAGGAGATCTCCAAGGGTCCCTACTGCCAATACCACGGATTGCGGCTTGTTCCAGAGCTTAAGCCCTAGAGTCAACATCAGAACTTATTCTCAAACTTCAGCACACATCACAATCACGTAAAACCCCACAGTGCTATGCTGACTTTTAACAAGTTCTCAGTTCATGTTGCCACTGGCTGTGGTCCACAAACAACACTCTAGGAAGACTGCACTAGTTAGCAATGGGCTGACATGACCTGGACAGCAGAGGTGGCTGAGGGCAACTGACCAGATGTGTGTAAAACCGGGCAGATGAGCACAGGAGCGTAGGCAGAGGTGAAGGTCATTAGCATAAATACCTTAACCTCTTCACTGACCTGAGCTAAAATGTGTAAGGGTGGCAGGGATGGGAACAGGATGTCACTGTCTGGTCAGAAAACCTTTCGTAAATGTCAAAGAACACTAGAGGATGAAACTTATTTGAAGTCAGTCCTGGGCCTGAAACTTGTTCATCCTACCATGGACCCTAGAACCAGAACAGTGTGATAATTAAGAGCAGGAGTTCTGGATTCAGATTCATTGCGTTCAAATCTTGGTCTTCTATTTATTAATGGTATGACCTTGGCAGGTTACTCAGTTTTGCTGGGCCTCACTCTTATTTAAGAATTAAATAAGATCAGACATATTATTCAGAACAGTGCCTGGAATGGAATAAATATTTAGTATAGGTTAACTATTATATTATAAAACTATAAGGGGCCGGGGAGTTAGCTCAGTGGTTTCACCTCCTGCCTCGCAAACGCAAGGTCCCCAGTTTGATCTCTGGTACCAAAAGAATAAATAAATAAATAAAATAAAATAAAATAAAAATTGCAGCCTACAATATTTATGGGCTGGGGATTTAGCTCAGTGGTTTTGCCGCCTGCTTAGCAAGCGCAAGGACCTGAGTTCGATCCCTGGTACCAAAAAAACCAAAAAAACCAATATTATAAAACTACAAATGCAGAATTATAAAATTAAATCTCAAAGTTCTCAGCTGGACATTTAAGACTCCCTCAATCACTCTCCACACTATTCCTGTCGGACTATCCTCTCTAGCACTATCCTGTACCTTCCCAGACTACCTCATGCTGGACTCTTCCGCTTCTCCACTCTTCCTCACCATGCATCCACCTTGTTCCTCCTGTACCTATTTAGTTTCAGCCATTCTCCAAACTGAAGCTTAGATTTCACTTTCAATATAAAGCTTTCCCTATCACTTCCACCCCCAACGTTCTTCCTTTCCAGAGAATACCCAAAACCACAATTTCTAGCACCATTTTTCACTTCACACATTTGTCCTTTCAGTTTTCATTCTGTGAGTCTCCCTCAACTATTGTACATTTTTTGAAGGCAGAAAGGATATCTTTTTTTACGAAAGAAGAAAATGTACCAAAGTGACTTCTGAATAAAAAAGACCGGAGGTTTGGGGGTGGCGATTTAGCTCAGTGGTTCCACTGCCTGCCTGGAAAGCGCAAGGTCCTGGGTTCAATCCCTAGTACCAAAAAAAAAAAGACAGACCTGAGGTTTAAACCTGGCTTTGCCACTCTGCGATTATGTGTGTGTATGCACGCATGTGTAATGTGTGTATTGCTAGTTGTATGATACAGATGTTAATTGCTCTGATCCTCAGTGTCTCATTTGTAAATGGAATTAATACCATCCACATCTCACAAGGCTGTTATAAAATAAGGCTGTGCTACACAATAAGCACTCTTTAATGGTGTTATTGTATTTATTACTTCATAATCTTTGTAGCCTGTAGCAGAGCAACTAGAACACACCAATCACCCCCCTCCCCAATAAATGATTAAATGAAGAAGTTTCACAGATCTGAAGTAGAGGTCTATTAATATTCATGATGTTTCTCTTTTCTAAGAAGGAAAGAAAGTAGTAGAGGTTGTTCTTACGACTGTACTGGTATAAGGTGATTTGTCAACTGTGTAAAAGCTTTTTCACACACATAGAAGTTGTGTACTTTCCAATACTATAAAGGAACGGCAC